CCCATTGCTGCTGTCTCCATCGCCACATTTCTGCCATGTGCCCCTTTCGGGTTTCCCCCTCCCCATTTGCTGGGTGTGTTCCAATTTTTTTTTCTTTGGGTGTGGAGATTAGGGGGCCCCCTCCCTTTGCTGTTTGCCAGGCCTTTTTAATCTGCCATGGCCCCCTTTTCCCGGGCCTTTTCCCATGCTGCTCCCGGGTCCAGAGTGTCTCATGGGTCCCTGTACGGCCTCCCATTGCTGCTGTCCCCAATCGCCCCCCCACCCTCCCTGTTTCCCCCCCCCATGTCACCCCCCTCGCGCCCCCCCCTTTTCCCTTTTTTTTTGTCATAGGGTGCGGGGAAGATTACGGGCCTCCATTGTGCTCCCCAGGCCCTTTAAATCTGCCATGGGCCCCTGCCCCGCCTCTTCATGCTGCTGCCAGGTCCACATTTGGTTCTTTGGGTCCCTCTACGGCCCCCCATTGCAGCTGTTCCATCGCCACACCTCTGCCATTTTGCCACTTTCAAGGTTCTTCACTTGCTGGTGTTGTTCCATTTTGTCATAGCGGTGCTGAGCAGATTACGGGCCTACCATTGCTGCTGCAGGCCCGTAATCTTGCCATGGGCCTCCTGTACGCCTACTCATGCTGTCTGCCAGGCCCGTAATCTGTCATGGGTCTCTGTACGGCCTCCCTTTGCTGCGCAGTCTCCATCGACAGACTCTGCCTCATGTGACTCCTGTCAGGTCTCTCACATGTCTGTGTGTGGTTCCATTTTGTCACTAGGGGTTGTCTGGCAGATTACGGGCCTCCATTGCTGCTGCCAGTGCCCGTAATCTGCGCCATGGGCATCTCGTACCGCTCATCTTGCTGCTGCCAGGTCCACAGTGTCTCATGGCTCCCTGTATGGCCTCCCTCTTGATGTGTCTCCTTTGCCACACGTCTGCATGTGACACGTTCTGGTCTAATCACACTGCTGGTGCTCGTTCAATTTTGTTCAATAGGGTTGCTTGGCAGATTACAGTGTCCTTCCCCTTTGCTGTCTGCCAGGCCTTTGTAATTCTGCATTGTGCCCTTTGTACCCAGCCTCCTAATGCTGCAGCCAAGGTCGCCAGAGTAATCCTGTCATGGGTCAACTGTGCGGGCCTCCATTGCTGCTGTCTCCATCGCCACACTTTTCTGCCATGTGCCACTTTCAGGTCTCCTCACACTGCTGGTGTGTTCCATTTTGTCATCAAGGGGTTGCTGGCAGATTACGGGCCTCCAATATTGCTGCTGCCAAGGCCCTGTAATCTGCACATGGGCCCTTGTATCCCGCCTCCTCATGCTGACTGCCAGGTCCATCGAGTGTCTCATGGGTCCCTGTACGGCCTCCCATTGCTGCTGGTCTCCATCGCCTGACACTCTGCCATGTGCCAACTTTCAGGTCTCCTCACACTGCTGGTGTGTTCCATGTTGGTGTTAAGGGTTAGCTGGCAGATTAGCGGGCCCCCCTTTTGCTGCTGCCGAATGGCCTGTAATTCTGCGTCATGCGGCCCGAGCAGGCCCAATCGTCATGGGCCCTCCGCCTCCTCATGCGTGGCTGCTTGGGCAGGTCCAGAGTGTCTCATGGGTCCCTGTACGGCCTCCCATTGCTGCTGTTCTCCTCATCGCCACACTCTAGCTCCATGGGCACTTTCAGGTCTCCTCACCACTGTGGTGTTTGTCCATTTTGTCCATAGGGTGCTCGGCAGATTACGTGAACCTTCCATTGCTGCTGCCAGGACCTGTAATCTGCCATGGGCCCCAGTACCTGCCTCCTCCAATGCTGCTGCCAGGTCCAGAGTGTCTCATGGGTCCCTGGTATACGGTGCGTCCCATTGCTGCTGTTTCCATCGCCCACACTCTGCCATGTGCCACTTTCTAGGTCTCCCTCACACTGCTGGTGGTTTCCATTTTGTCATAGGGTGCTGGCAGATTATGGGGCCTCCCATTGCTGCTGCCAGGCCCATCTGCCATGGGCCCCATAGTACCGGCCTCCTCATGCTGCTGCCAGGTCCATAGTCTCTCATGGGTCCCTGTACGGCCTCCCATTGCTGCTGTCTCCATCGCCACACTCTGCCATGTGCCACTTTCAGGTCTCCTCACACTGCTGGTGTGTTCCATTTTGTCATAGTCTGGCATTAGAGGCCTGCTGGCGCAGGCCCGAATTGCCATGCTCCCATGCCACTGCTGCCAGGTGCCAGGTCCAGTAATCTGGTTCCATGGGCCCCATTGGCTGTTACCGCCTCCATCATGGACAGGTGCTGCCATTTGGTCCAGAGTGGGGCTCCCATGGGCAGGCCTGTAATCTGCCCTGTACGGGGCCAGGTCCCATTGCTGCTGTGTCTCCATCGCCATCCCACACTCTGGCCAGGACTTGCCATGAGCCACTTTCAGGTCTCCTCACACTGCTGGTGTGTTCCATTTTGTCATAGGGTGCTGGCAGATTACGGGCCTCCCATTGCTGCTGCCAGGCCTGAGCAGTAATCTGCCATGGGCCCCTGTACCGCCTCCTCATGCTGCGACTGCCAGGTCCACAGTGTCTCATGGGTCCCTGTACGGCCTCCCATTGCTGCTGTCTCCATCGCCACCACACTCTGCCATGTGCCCACTTTCAGGTCTCCTCACACTGCTGTGTGTGTTCCATTTTGTCACTAGGGTGCTGGCAGATTACAGCGCCTCCATTGCTGCTGCCAGGCCTATGTAATCTGCCATGGGCCCCCTCGTACCGCCTCCTCATGCTGCTGCCAGGTCCAGACAGTTCTCATGGGTCCCTGTACGGCCTCCCATTGCTGCTGTCTCCATCGCCACACTCTGCCATGTGCCACTTTCAGGTCTCCTCACACTGCTGGTGTGTTCCATTTTGTCATAGGGGTGCTGGCAGATTAGTACGGGCCTCCCATTGCTGCTGCCAGGCCATGTAATCTGCCATGGGCCCCTGTACCGCCTCCTCATGCTGCTGCCAGGTCCAGAGTGTCTCTCATGGGTCCCTGTACGGCCTCCATTGCTGCTGTCTCCATCGCCACACTCTGCCATGTGCCACTTTCAGGTCTCCTCACACTGCTGGTGTGTTCCATTTTGTCATAGGGTGCTGGCAGATTACGGGCCTCCCATTGCTGCTGCCAGGCCCGTAATCTGCCATGGGCCCCTGTACCGCCCTCCTCATGCTGCTGCCAGGTCCAGAGTCTCTCATGGGTCCCTGTACGGCCTCCCATTGCTGCTGTCTCCATCGCCACACTCTGCCATGTGCCACTTTCAGGTCTCTCACACTGCTGGTGTGTTCCATTTTGTCATAGGGTGCTGGCAGATTACGGGCCTCCCCATTGCTGCTGCCAGGCCTGTAATCTGCCATGGGCCCCTGTACCGCCTCCTCATGCTGCTGCCAGGTCCAGAGTCTCTCATGGGTCCCTGTACGGCCCTCCCATTGCTGCTGTCTCCATCGCCATCGCCACACTCTGCCATGTGCCACTTTCAGGTCTCCTCACACTGCTGGTGTGTTCCATTTTGTCATAGGGTGCTGGCAGATTACGGGCCTCCCATTGCTGCTGCCAGGCCCGTAATCTGCCATGGGCCCCTGTTTCTGTACCGCCTCCTCATGCTGCTGCCAGGTCCAGAGTCTCTCATGGGTCCCTGTACGGCCTCCCATTGCTGCTGTCTCCATCGCCACACTCTGCATGTGCCACTTTCAGGTCTCCTCACACTGCTGGTGTGTTCCATTTTGTCATAGGGTGCTGGCAGATTACGGGCCTCCCATTGCTGCTGCCAGGCCTGTAATCTGCCATGGGCCCCTGTACCGCCTCCTCATGCTGCTGCCAGGTCCAGAGTGTGTCATGGGTCCCTGTACGGCCTCCCATTGCTGCTGTCTCCATCGCCACACTCTGCCATGTGCCACTTTCAGGTCTCCTCACACACTGCTGGTGTGTTCCATTTTGTCATAGGGTGCTGGCAGATTACGGGCCTCCCATTGCTGCTGCCAGGCCCGTAATCTGCCATGGGCCCCAGTACCGCCTCCTCATGCTGCTGCCAGGTCCCAGAGTCTCTCATGGGTCCCTGTACGGCCTCCCATTGCTGCTGTCTCCATCGCCACACTCTGCCATGTGCCACTTTCAGGTCTCCTCACACTGCTGGTGTGTTCCATTTTGTCATAGGGTGCTGGCAGATTACGGGCCTCCCATTGCTGCTGCCAGGCCCGTAATCTGCCATGGGGCCCCTGTACCGCCTCCTCATGCTGCTGCCAGGTCCAGAGTCTCTCATGGGTCCCCTGTACGGCTCCCATTGCTGCTGTCTCCATCGCCACACTCTGCCATGTGCCCACTTTCAGGTCTCCTCACACTGCTGGTGTGTTCCATTTTTTGTCATAGGGTGCTGGCAGATTACGGGCCTCCCATTGCTGCTGCCAGGCCTGTAATCTGCCATGGGCCCCCAGTACCGCCTCCTCATGCTGCTGCCAGGTCCAGAGTCTCTCATGGGTCCCTGTACGGCCTCCCATTGCTGCTGTCTCCATCGCCACCTCTGCCATGTGCCACTTTCAGGTCTCCTCACACTGCTGGTGTGTTCCATTTTTTCATAGGGTGCTGGCAGATTACGGGCCTCCCATTGCTGCTGCCAGGCCCGTAATCTGCCATGGGCCCCCGTACCGACTCCTCATGCTGTGACGTTGCAACAAGGTGGAATTCAACCCTACATATGTTAGACCGCCTTTACGAACAGCGAAATACGCCTCACCGATTTCCTGATGTTACAAGCGGATAAAAGGTACTCCCTGTGTAACTTCGATGTCAGCCATTGGCAGCTCATGCGTGACACCTGCCGCTTGCTCAGGCCCTTTGAGGAGGCCACGCTATTCGTGAGTCGGCAGGACTATGGGATGAACGACGTCATTCCTCTGTTGCACGTCCTGGAACAAATGCTGTTAACAATGGCTGGTCAGGGTGCGGTAGACGTGGCGCACAGATCTCAATGCCACATGACCCCTGTGGGGGCAGGACAGGAAGAAGAGGAGGAGGTAGAGGAGGACATTGGTGCTCAGGAATTATTGAGTGAAATGGGTGGTTTTTCCACTCAGCGGACAGGAGTGGAGGAGCAGGGAGCATCTGTAGAGGAGGAGGAGGAGGAGACAGAGGACCCAGACGCACCGTGGCAGTATGCTGTGGAGATGGAGGCAGGGAGTCCCTCGCATTCCTTGGCACAAATGGCCCATAGCATGCTCGCTTGCTTGCGTAGCGACAGCCGAATAATAACCATCAGACAGAGGGATGACTTTTGGCTTTCCACCTTGTTGGACCCTCGCTAACGTTCAAAAATGGTGGCCTTTTTCACACCTGCTGAGAGGAGGCCAAAATAACGTACTATAAAAACCACCTATGTAGTCAGTTGGTCTCTGCCTTTCTGCGCCAACGTCCATCCTCAGACACTGTGGGCCCTGTGCGCTCGCGTTCCGCTGCCATGGCAGCAGGGGAGGGGTGGGGTGGTAGGAGCAGTGGCAGCTCCACCAGCAGCGGCTGCCTCAGTCTGCAGTCGATGATGAGTAGCTTTCTTCACCAGCGCAGTGAGGAAACTACTAACCAGCCGCAGCAGCAGCAGCATCAGGTGGACCTGGAGCAGGACCTCAAACAACAGGCTTGGGCCTACTTGGGCAGCACCCTGCCAACCGAGGTAGACAATCCCCTTGACTACTGGGCAACGAAACTTGACCTTTGGCCCCAACTAGCTGAATTTGCCCTTGAAAGGCTGTCATGCCCGGCCAGTAGCGTGGCATCGGAGCGCGTGTTTAGTGCGGCAGGAGGTATTGTAACTCCGCGGAGGACACGACTGTCCACCCAAAGTGTGGAGAGACTCACGTTTGTGAAAATGAATCAGGCGTGGATTAGTCTGGATTTCAAACCACCAGTTCCTGACACAACTGACTAAATCCGCCATGAATCATGCCCCAAACATGTGCCACTTTCAGGTCTCCTCACACTGCTGGTGGGTTCCATTTTGTCATAGGGTGCTGGCAGATTACGGGCCTCCCATTGCTGCTGCCAGGCCCGTAATCTGCCATGGGCCCCTGTACCGCCTCCTCATGCTGCTGCCAGGTCCAGAGTCTCTCATGGGTCCCTGTACGGCCTCCCATTGCTGCTGTCTCCATCGCCACACTCTGCCATGTGCCACTTTCAGGTCTCCTCACACTGCTGGTGTGTGTTCCATTTTGTCATAGGGTGCTGGCAGATTATGGGCCTCCCATTGCTGCTGCCAGGCCCGTATTCTGCCATGGGCCCCTGTACCGCCTCCTAATGCTGCTGCCCAGGTCCAGAGTGTGTCATGGGTCCCTGTACGGCCTCCCATTGCCGCTGTCTCCATCGCCACACTCTGCCATGTGCCACTTTCAAGTCTCCTCACACTGCTGGTGGGTTCCATTTTTGTCATAGGGTGCTTTATGGCCTCCCATTGCTGCTGCCTCCACCGCCACACTGTGGCTCCACACTCTGGTTTTGGCCCCGTGACTGCCCAAATGAGTGAAGTGTGCGGTGATTCTAAGATCGACGGCACTCATCTGCATGTCATACTGACTGACAGTAGTATTTCTCTTCCCCAGCAGACTCCAAGGGCATTTAAATTAAAGGTACAGTGTTCTGCACTAATATAAAGGCTCTCTGAAGCCTAGAAACACCCTTTTATAAGTTAAATTCGCAGCGAATATATTCGCATCGAATCGAATTTATTCCTCGAATTCGCCGAATCAGCCGAATCGAATTTTTGAATACTTCTTTCATCTCTAATTAAGATTTCAACAGCACAACCATTGGTCCTTCCCCTCATGCCAGGGTGCTAGGCGTATTCCTAGACTCTGACCTCTCCTTTGGGCCCCACATCCACTCACTGGCTAAATCCTGCCGCCTCAACCTCCGCAACATTTCCAAAATCCGCCCCTTCCTGACCAATGACACCACAAAACAACTTATCCACGCCTTGGTTATATCCCGCCTCGATTACTGCAACTTCTTCCTCACTGGTCTACCGTTACACAGGCTATCCCCCTTCAGTCTATTATGAATGCTGCTGCTAGACTCATACACCTTACCAACCCATCAGCGACTGCTGCCCCTCTCTGCCAATCCCTCCACTTGCTTCCACTAACCCAACGTATAAAATTCAAAATACTAACCACAGCTTACAAAGCTATCCACATCCACAGATACCGCCCAAATCGCCCACTCCACTCCTCCCTTGATATCCTCCTCTCTAGCTCCCTCATCACCACCTCCCACGCTCACCTCCAGGACTTCTCCAGAGCCTCTCCCATCCTCTGGAACTCCCTACCACAGCATGTCCGGTCAGCCCCCACCCTGTCTGCCTTTAGGCGATCTTTGAAAACTCACTTCTTAAGGGAAACCTACCCCACCTCCACCTAAGAACTGTACTTGAATCACCTCCGCCAGATCATCCTCCGCAGTTATCACCTTTTGTATCACCTCCCCCTTCCTTTAAATTGTAAGCTCCACGAGCAGGGCCCCTCCTATCCCTTCTGTACTGATATGTATTGTAATTGTACTGTCTCCCTTATATTGTAAAGCGCTGCGCAAACTGTTGGCGCTATATAAATCCTGTATAATAATAATAATAATAAAGAGGTAGGTGTTCCCACCCTGGCAAGTTCATCTTTAATAGGTTCAGACAGACCATGACGAAATTGGAAGCGCAAGGCTGAGTTATTCCACTGAGTATCTGCACTCCATAGACAAAATTCAGAAACATAGTCCTCCACTGGTCTTTGGCCTTGTTGCAAGTTGCTTCGCATGGTCTCAGCAGTTTGGTGACGGAAAGGATCAGCGTATAGTTGGGACATGGCCAGAAAAAAAAGAGCTCACGGAAGTCAAAGCAGGGTCATGTTCTCGAAGATGATGTGCCCAGGCCTGAGGCTCCTCCAGGAGCAGGGAGATGAGGAATCCCACCTCCACCTCTTCAGATGAGAAAATTTGAGGCAGAAGAGAGAAGTACAACTCGCAGGAGTTCTGAAAGGTCCTGAATTTCTTACGACACCCAGAAAAATGTTCAGGTAGGGGGGCCCTCTGCTCAGGAGGAGGAGGCAGTTCATTGAAGGTACAGAGCATAGTCTGCGTAGATGAATCTTTGACCCTCTGGGAATCCGAGGTAGAAGAAGTGCTTGACACGAACTTCAGCTGGCCATATAATTGAGAAAAATCCTTATGCAGCCCCTGCACAGCATGGGATAGTGCAGTGACACTCTGGCAGAGTGTAATGAGCAGAGAGGCTTCCCTTTCAGACTCATCACTGACTGACTGGTATTGTCACGTACCTGATAGAAGTCTGCATTGATGAGGTCAGCCTCTCGTATCCCCAACGCAGGCCCCAGTGAAGTTGAAACAGATGGTGCCGAGGGACAGGAGGAACACGAGTGCCTGTGGCTATTGATTGTGGAACTTGCGGCTGGTGATGTAACCTCGGTAAATCAGACAGGGCATCCAGTCAGGAACAGAGGAGATGCCGGAACGGCCAGCTGAAGTTAAGGAAGCACTCCACTGGAACTGCAAGATCTGGGTACATGGCTTGTCAGAACTTCTGATAAGCATGAGGCCGAAACACACCGTGACAACCGGAGCTGATGTAATGACAGCCAGGACAGGCACTCGGCAGGACTGTAGAGCCAAAACTGGAGCCGGAAGTGTAGTCAGAGTAATAGCCAGGGTCAACAATGAGCAGGCGACGAGGTTCCCGAAACATCAGACAGGGACAAGGTTAGGAGGAAGCCAGGATCAGAAACCGATGAGTAGAAGCATAAACAGGATCCAAGAACAGGTCAATGGCGAGCCGGGTCAGTAACTGATACACACAGGATACAGCAGGCAACAGGAAGTTAGCTGAAGACCAGTCAGCACTGACAGAGAGTAAGAGCCTCCTTTAAATAGTCTGTCTGGAGCCAGAAACAGTGGGCATGCTCATTTCTATTAGCCAGTTGCCGTACAGGAATTCTCTTACAATATGTTGGTTATCACAGATGGTGTTAATACACTGAAGTTTTCTGCACATGGCACGTTATTATTTCTTTGGAGCATATTGGATATAGGATATCTTCATTTATTATTTTGGATTGGGACCTTTTATTATTGTTTTTTGACTTTGATATTATTATTTTATATATTCTATTTATGTTTATTTATTTATATTTATATAATGTTTTGCACAGTGTTTTCCTATATTTTTATAATGTTACACATATGGTGGGAATGTACCATTATATAGGATTTTTGGCAGAGGATAGTACAACAAATAGAAATTATAGGAGAAAATATAATAATGGACCCATGGGTGTGTTTATTGGATAATACCGACCTTACAGTAAAACAATAAGAACACAATTATATTTAATTTATTAAATGCAGTGAAAGGATAATTACCCAAATTTTGGAAGGCCCAAGAAGGACTGGATAAGGAGGGTAGATTATGGCTATAGGTTAGAAGAACTTATAGAGGAGAGGATAAAATGAAATAATTTGGGAAAGATGGTGTTGATTTTAGGATTACACAGAAATATGCCAATATGGTGGGATAAAAGAGGAGAAGGAAACAGTAAAAGGGGGAACAAAGAGATATGAGGTGTAATAAAGGTATAGAGAGAGTAAACAGAAGAACAAGAAGGGAAGTTTTAGAGATGGGAAAGGGAGATTGAGGGGAGGGGAATTGTATTGTAAAATGTGTTTATAGAAGATTACGTGTTAGTGGTGTGTTGGAATTTTGTAAATTGTGTTTAATAAAAAATATAATAAAAAAAAAACAAAGAAAAAAAAAAAGAAATTATGAGGGTTCTGTCTGTAGGAATTTCCAGAATTCCTACTATAACCTAAGTAGGCACCCCTTCCGTGGTCATGCCCACAGACAGAGTCAATTCTCTCCTGTCTTCTGTAATCATAATCTACCTTTTAATACGGAATTCCTTGAAAAGTTTTTACCCATAGGTATCCCACCCTGTGTTTCCCTTTTGAGGTTGGGGAATTGATTATTTCCTCTTTGGTATAAACCCATAAGCATAATGAGGGAGGGACCTCATATCCCTTGCCCCAATCTCCTCATCCTGAATCTCCCTTGGGGGCTGAAACCTATTTGAGGTTGGTACTGAGTATTCCTCATCCTCCTAAAAAGATACACTATCAAATCTTTCTCTCCTACAGTCATGATGAATCATATAAACGTGGGGATAGTCCTGATTAGAATTATGACTGAAGCATCTCGTGGGATTTTGGGGTTGGTTTATATGTGGACCCACCAGCATAGCTATTAAATCACACCTTTGTCCTTCCTTACCCCTGTCCCTTCTTGCTTATCCCCTATCAGCTCCTGCCATTTAAATACCTTCTATTTTTATAATCCTTCAAATCCTGTAGGTATTTTTTCTTTTCCTTAAAACTCTTCTCTGTCTCAGTACTTTCCATAATTTGTTTTGAGTCTGACTCAACCTTATCTTCCTCTTTGTTCATATACGGTAAAAGGTTTTCTCCGGTCTTACTAATCTCAGCATCTATGCAGGTCAATTTCTTTTCCTAATATAAAATCAGAAATTTCAATAAATCAAGACCCGCATTGTTAAAAAACTGATACCACTCAATATCGTTATTACTATCGTCTCTTTCTGGAGGTACCTCCCAACGTAAAGAACGTTGGACCATACTCTCTTTTATACACTTCTCCAGAAAAAAAAAAGATGTCCCATAGAGTTCTAATCTCAGATGTAGTTAAATTCTGAAGATGGAAAAAGAGGCCATATAAATTATCTACATCCTCATCCTGTGAAAAAAATGTCATCAGCAATAGCAGGATGTTTTTATCTCATCTCGAAAACATCCATCTTATACACTCAAGCAGCTCCAAACCTATTCTCACCCAAATAGTATACAAATTCAAACATGAATGGTGAGTGCTACAGAATTGGAAGCAGCTTGCAGAAAAAGAAAAGTGACAAAATCTCAATACTTGTGTAAATAAAAAAAACAGTGCAGTACATAAATATCTATCAAAATGAATAGTGTACTAGATCAAAAAGTGAAACAATATGAATAAATATTATCCAAAAGTGTCGAAATTAAATCGACAACAGAATTATATACAATGTAGTCATTCCAGTGTGAATCTGTATGCTTGTGATGCCAACCAAGACAAACTGTGTTCAATCCCACCAAGTGCTTTTTTCCATTGCAGGGTCCTCCACCACTACGCACTCATCAGAAAGCTACTTGGTCAGTAGCATGTGATTCCTCAGCACTAGGTCTATGTCATCTGCTCTC